CTACGGCTCCCAAAACTTCACCCCCTACGGATACTGTACGGACCGATGAGAGGTCTCCTACGTACGGCTTACGTACGTCGTATCACCGTACAGTACCTCACCGTACTACTGTACGATGGGAACGCTGCGGTATTGTTGCACTCAGATGTGAGAAGAAGGGCACGTTTTTCGCATTAGCCAAGAGCACCACAAGCATGTAAGCTCGGTTGTTCAAGATGTCGGATCATCACTTGTATCTTTGAAGCCTCTTGCACTGCAGTGTATCAAGCTATAAAGATCCAAAGGCACTTGATCTTGAGACTATCCACCATACGCAAGGCCTCGAGCTGTCCGTGGGATACCTAGAGTACCTTTGGGTTTGCTTGTCAGTACAAGACTTTTTTTGATAAGATCTAGCTGTGTGAAGGCCATTACCGATGATGGGTTCTTACCTCATGCGCTAACCTCCTCTACGGCACTGAGGACATCTGCACTGACTTTAATTTCAAGGCCTCATTACTCTGGTACTCCAGTAATACAACACCCGCTACGATGGATACTCCACTTACCTGGCATATATTCCTTCCCAAAACGATCTTTCTCCTAATCTCATCACATCTTCCCTCCAAACCGCGATCATCAAGTTCTCAAGCAAATACACGAAACCGATCGCTCAAAACAAACTCTGCGACATCAGAAAAGCTACTTCGATGTCTACTTCACTCAAACGCACTTCCGAAGAAGCGGGAGCAGAACCCACAAGTATGCGTTCGAACAAAAAGCCATGTCTCTCGCTCGAAATACCACAAAAAGAGATGTCCAAAGAGGAAGACAAAACACCCAAGACGCGAACAGCCGCCGCAGAACGATGTGAACCTCAACTCAAACGGCCCTTCCCGAAGAGAAGGCAGATCAAGGACTGAAACAAAATGAAGCTCATGAGACACGACACCACAAACGATCCTACGCCGCTATCAAGACTACCCATCATAAGACCACACATCGCACGATCTGCCCGCGTCGATAAACTACTAGAAAGCCTCTCAGTCTCAGATCCCACCAAAAACGCAGACGGCACCAAAAGAATCCGACTAGCGACACAAACTAGGCGCGACGAGAGGCAGAATGAGATGTTGAAGCAAAACAAAAGCATCACAGAGAGCGACTTCGCCGTCAGACTAGCATGGTCTTGCTTCTCGTCCAACGAGAAAAATCGAGTGGGTCGGGAGCGCATGGGGATGATGATATCAGGCCTTGAGTGGGACGACCTTGCGAATGAGAAGAAAGGCGTACCGAACAACTTGCCCGAGTGGAGGAAGACGAATACAGGCCGGTTTGCCAAGGCAGATTTGCCGTGTGAATGAGAGGTTGTCTGGGGGATGAGTAGTCGAGACACAGAGGTGGACTTTGGATCTGATTGTTAGCGACGTTTATTGGACAGGGCGCTGAGGTTTTGGATATTTTAATAGGGCGTGTGGGTAGCGAGCGTAGAAACTGATGTGCCTATCTGAGGTACCTCGCTATGAAATTTTTCAATGTGATATGCCTAGCTAGCGATTAATTGCATCTTTTTGACAAAAGCTGGTCCCTTCGCGTAATCTGCTGAGCATGCGACGTACTTTGGGACGCGGCGAGGAACTCCAAACTTTGCTGCCAATGATGTGTTACATAGGACGCTTGGGGATGCGAAATTTGGTAGGGCAGATGATAAACTAGACGTAAAATCGGATGGCCCAAATGTGGTACCGTTATACACATGCTCCACTTTTACGCGTTCGACCGGAGATACTAAAGAGAAAGAGCTCAGAGTAAGGTTCGACAGAATAGTTTTGAGGAACACGTCACGCTAGATCTTACGTGTTTGACAACACGGTCTAAATCAAGTGAGGCTATCAGGTGTGAGTATTGGTGATGCAAAAGGGCATTTGAGTGTAGAGTTGTATGATGGGAGCGATGAGCCGACAAGCCTATGGATGCTAGCTTTGAGAGAGTGGGTATGGGCAAAGGAGAGTTGGGCTGGGGAGTAGTTGTGTTGTCGCAATGGGTCGATACTATAGTTCTGATGATGTGCTATAGGCTACGTGATCCGCGCTACGGGTTGTCAGGAAAATTACTGCGAGGACGTTCAGGGCGTGCTTTGACGAAATAAGTTGCTATTCATCAATGCTCATGTTTGAGCTGCCACTCTCCTAGTAGTCATAGAACCCTTTTCCGCTCTTCTTTCCCAACCACCCTGCATCCACCATCTTCTTCAGCAGCACCGCAGGTCTGTACTTGGAGTCACCCGTATCATGATACAAAACCTGCATGATGGCCAGACACGTGTCGATACCGATGAAATCCGCCAATTGAAGCGGGCCCATAGGTACGTTCGTGCCGTTCTTCATAATACTGTCAATATCCTCCTTGGCACCTACGCCTGTCTCTAAGCAGATGACGGCCTCGTTGATGTACGGCATGAGAATGCGGTTCGCGAGGAAACCCGGGCTATCGGCGGACTTGGAAGCGATCTTGCCCATCCTCTCGCAGAAGGCGATTGCGGTATCGACGGTATCTTGTGAGGTCTGAAGGCCAGTGATGATCTCTACGCCTTTTTGAACGGGGACCGGGTTCATAAAGTGTGTGCTGATGACACGCGATGAGGCCGAGAGATCGGTTGGGTCGGTGGTTGTACTCGCTGCGATCTTGGTAATCGAGATGGAAGAGGTGTTGGTGGCTAGGATAGCGTGTGATGGGCAGATTTGTGCGAGTTGCGAGAAGATCTTGTGTTTGAGGTCTGGGATCTCCGGTACGGCCTCGATTACGAAGTCGACGTCTGAGAGGTCATCCATTGAGGTGCTAGACGTTAATCGCTCTCTTGCTGCGACGGCGTCATCTTTGGAGATCCTGCCCTTTCCGACGTCTTTTTCGAGAAGCTTGTCCGCGAACTTTAGGCCCTTGTCGATTGATGCTTGGGAATTGTCAATTAACCGGACTGGTACAGAGGCTTTCTGTGCTGCTACGAGAGCTATTCCAAGGCCCTGAAAACGTCAGCTCACAAGGCTCGCCTGTATGATCGGGTCGGCCGTTGCACACCATTTGACCTGCTCCAATGACACCCAGCTTCTTGACCTCAGCAGCAGCCCCCACAGAGGGAGTCGAGCTGAAGGCACGGCATTGCTGCCTCACTGCGCATCGGGCGACCTGTCTTGAGGCTACGGAAAACATGGTGAGTATATGCTCGGAAGATTGCAAGCAAATTGTGAGGGTTGCACACACAACATGTGATGGGGAACTTCTTTCCCCAGGCCGATGAGAGCCGCCGCGGGCTAGCCGAGGCATGACGTTGACTGGCGGCGGGAAGGAGCGAGGATCAGCCTGGGCTTGGCGGATTTGAGCGGTTTGTCCCGCATGTGGCACTTTACGCGTCGACGCGTCTTTTGGATTATCGCGACACCGGCGGGCAGTCCGAGCATCAACCACAACAATGCCTCAGACGACGCTGGACGATTGGGCGCAGGACACTGTGAACCCAGAAGTTCGCGCTCACGTCTCCAGTCTAATTTCTGCTGTATGTATCCTGCTTTGCCAATGCAATCGTCACTGACATGCGCACAGCTCGGTGGTATTGGTGATGATGGCACGTATGCACTCGGACACGACGCCCTGCTGTGTCTCAAGGACCTGCGGAAATGGCTAAAGTTTGCCGACGGGCAATACAATCGACGCGATGTTGCACGATGCATGGCCGAAGCAAACCTCGTAAAGGGCGACTTACTAGAGATACTTGCCAAGATATCACCGACTGTAACAGAAAGCGCGTGGAAACACAAGATTGCAGTTGCGACATGTATGAAGGCAGGGCTGACGTACTTGGGCTGTACTGACCGCTACAGTGGAACTGCTTGTGCCTTTGACATGGCCCAACGAAATCGACCCAACCGAAGCGACCGTAAACCACCATCGACATGGCCCCTACATCGGGCTCGCCCAGATTGGATACAAGCGCGCTATCCTGCAATTCGACCGAGACAGAGTCCTTCAGACTGCCGTCAAGACTGCGCTTCCTTCAATGGCAGTGCCCCTCCGCGAACGAACACCACGAGATGAAGGCATCATCCGGATCGCGCTATATTTCATACGCAATATTGCCATGCTTGCACCACCCAACGATGCACATATGGACACTGACGAAGCCGAAGTCTCTCGATCTGCAACGATTGATACTTTCCAAGAACAGGATCTATTTCAGGTCATTCTGAGTATCGCCTCCAGCATCGGAGAGGACTTTGTCACACAAGATGTTGTCATACTCGAGATCTTGTTCTTCCTACTAAAGGGTATCGATGCTGAGAAACTCTTCATGGAAGACAAGAAGCTCAATGCCAAAAATACAGATGAGCTCAAGGACTTGATGCAAAAAGAGAAGGCTATGCTCGCAGGCTATGCTCGGCATGCACCAACCCGGCACAACCGATTCGGAACAATGATATGGATGAAGCGAGATGACGAAAAGGTCACGACTATATCTGGGCAGGATGTGCTAGGAAAGGCGCAGGCTAGCATGGACAAGATGGATGCTACGAAGAAGTGGAACAAACCTCGACAAGGAAGGCGCAAGCAGGATGTTAGCGAAGAGAGAGAGGAGTTCGACCTGCCGGTGTCGCTGACGTCTTCTGCACGGAAACATATCAAAGCCTTTGTTGAAGAGTTTCTCGACTCGTCTTTCAACCCTCTATTCCTGCATTTACGGAAAGCTATCGAGCGCGAAACTGAACGTGTGGAGACACGGCATTCTAGACAGTACTTCTATCTCGTATCGTGGTTCCTGAGAGCAGAGTGCGCGCGGCGGCGGACTATGAAGGAGAGGGCCGCAGACCCCAAGAGCCCAGAAGTTCTGTCTGCTGAGGATGAGAGCTACGGGCTAGTAGCCGAAGTCATGAACCAGGAGACGTTTATTCTACTCAACCGCTTCATGCAAAAGAGTCAAGACGAGAAGGCATGGCGAGATCTGAACGCCGGACTGAAGTGCTTTACCCAGATCTTGCTCACCGTGCACGAAATGTCCGAGTCGGCACTTGAAGAGGACCAAGAGATTGCTGAGAACATACAGAACCGTATCTTCTACGAAGAGTCAACACATGATAGAATAGTCATGATTCTAAGGTCATACAAGGATCAAGGCTTTGGCTATCTCGATGCGGTTACTGAGCTTTCTCATGTCTTTTTGCGGATGCTTGAGCGCTATGCAAAGCAGAACGTGGACATGCAGATCCGCTCGAAGCGACGAGCTCGAAAGATCAAGAAAAAGAAAGCTGAAAAGCAGGGCGGAGATGGAGAGGAAGAGGGTAACGCTTCCGAGACTGAAGACCTTCAGCAGGCACAGAAGACGGTTTCGGAACGCAAGTTCGATTTCACGAGATTTGCTGCAAAGTTTGTCAACCAAGCCAGTGTCAACACTTTCGTGGCATTTGCCAAGTATTTCAGCGATCTGGATACCGAACAGCTGAAGCGCGCGCATCGCTTCTTCCACCGTGTCGCTTTCAAGATGGAGCTTGGTGTTTTACTGTGCCGGGTGGACATCCTGCAGCTATTCAATAAGATGATGAAAGGTCCAGGCGGCCTGGACCCTGAGTCTCCTGCATACAGGGAGTGGGACGACTTTATCAAACACTTCTTTAGGCAAGTCGTAAAGAGAGTACAGGAGAGACCAGAGCTGGTAGTAGAGATGCTGTTCAGCAAGATCCCTGCAACCATCTTCTTCCTCGAACACGGCTTTGATAAGGAGGTAAACACCCGAGCGCCACGAGCGCCAGCAGAGCTGGAAGTCAAACCTGGTATGGAGCTACCCGATCAGGTTGGTGTCGCTGTTGGTGTTCTTGTAAACCAGTCAAAGTCGGACCACCTCCGCTGGGTACGAGACGTACTCACATCAGCAGCTGAAGAGCGCAAGGCATGGGAGGAGGCAGCTGAAGCACAAAAGGCTTTAGTGACGGACGCGGAAGAGCGTCCAGAGGGCGAGGCAGTCCCCGAACCAGATGCCGAAACGTCGAAGCCACCGTCAATCTGTAAGTCCCACTCTGCTGCTACAAAGAAGTCTACTAATAAAATCTAGTCATCAAGCACGACACCGAAGAGCGCCGTATAGCGATGTTCAAAGACAACAAGCTACGACTACTTATGAATTTAGTCGGCTTCGAGAGACTAGGAGAACATCATGACCCAGACGCTGCATGGATTATTCCTTCATCACTCACATCAATACAACTACAAGAAGCCATCGATCTCATTCGGAAGTTCGAGTTCGACCCGCCGACATACGAAGACGGTAAAGCACCAGAAGATCTGCTCCGCAGCAAAGCCGCAGCAGCTCGTCGGCCTACCCGCCGGGCCGAGTTCGACGATGACTCCGACGGCATAGATCGCGACCTAGAAGAAGAGGATCACGGCGAATACGCCAAAGGCGGACCGACTACACGTGACGCAGACACTGATGTTCCTCGCAAAACACTGAAGCGACGGCGCCGACAGAAGACTCCCGTCGAGCTCGATGAAGAAGAACAAGACCGCCGAGCCGAAGCACGTCGCAAGAAGGAAATTGAGAAACAAGCTAAAACGTTGAGTACGATGTATGTCCATGACTCCGACGATGAGGACTGGGACGCTGAGAAGGATGCCGCGTTCTTTGCAAGAGAGCAGGCGATCCGTGAAGAGAATCTGAAGGTGTTCAAAAAGTCTCTGGTGTTGGGGACTGTGGAGCCGGCTGTTAGTGTGGGGAAGAAGAGGAAGGCTGATGCGACGGTTAAGAAAAGTAAGAGGAGCAAGAAGAAAGCGCTGTTTGAAGATAGTGATGATGATATGGAGGATGCAGAGAGTAGTCAAGCTGCATCTGTGACTGAGGATAATGAAGACGAGAACGAAGACGGAGAGGAAACGACAGATACACCGCTTTCGAGTCAGAATGCCAATGCTATGACGGCAGAGAGCGATACGGATACGCCTAGGAAACCAGCAAGTAGTTCAGCTAAGGCTGTGGACACTACAATGGCAGATGTAGATACGGATGACGATGAGGACGATGCACCCGTGGCGCGAAGAGCAGCACCACGAAATACAAGGGCAGGGTTTGTCATTGACAGTGACTCGGAGTAAGATACTACGTGGGGAAAAGGGGTTCACGGTATGATCTGGGATTCTAGGGCCGCATAGCGTGGTTGTTCCGTATTTGCTTTCTCTGTAGGCTTTGAATACCCATCATCTCTGTTGTTGACAATTCCATCTCGTCCCATACTATCACGACTTCCCAGGTTCCTGCTGTAGGCAAGAAGCAGATGGCTTCTATCGGCAGGAACATCCAGATCCCTGCCTTAAGTGCCAATTTACGAAGTCCGTGTATGTCTTGTAGGCAGTTCATACAAGGACATTACATATCTGTGCTTATCCATCATCGTCATTGTCCCCAGGAAACCCCACAACAGCCCTCCTTAGCCTAACCTCGCTGACTGCCCCATCAACCTCCCACGTGGCCTTGCACTCATACCGTCCCTCGAATCTAAGCCAGATGTCTCTTAGAAAGAACCTTGCCAGCACCCTGCTTTGATATAGCACAAACTTTTCGTCTGTCGGGTTAATGGTATTGTTTTCTTCTTCATTGTCTTTCTTTGGACCCTGCGTCCACTGCGGAGGTGAAGTTGGACCAGCTAAGAGTACCTTCCGAGGCGAGGACTCCAACGGCACGGTGGATTGTTGCGACTGGCATGATGACGGTGGCGGGAAGAATGGCGAAGGGACGGGGAAGGAAAAGGACGCGTTGTTTGGTATGAAGGTATCCCAAGCTGGTACTCCGTTTACAATGGGACTTGAGCCCGCGACGGGCGACGCAAAGGTTTCGTACCAGAGGCCTGTGGCGCTGAACGATGCTCTGACGTACAAGGTCCATGATAACGAGAAGCCTAGGTTACGGTAGGAACCAGCCTGATTGTCTCATTAGTCAGCTCAGTACTTACCGTGATGATGGAAGAGATGTTATTTGTAGGACTGGGAAAGGGAAATGGTCAACAGAGAAAAACTCACAATAACACTGTTCCCCATCCTCCTAATTACAAGAATATTCCCTGCAGTACTCCTGTCTACTTCCCTCCGATACACAAATTCGTCAACCCGTGGATCAAGAAATGCTTCTAAACAGTCTCTGTTCGTGTGACTGAGTATCGTAGCGACTGCGCTACAAAGACGCGGGTAAGCAGCTCCAACTAATGGATCCTGAGTATTGAAATACCGTTCCAGATCGATGACATGTGGAGCGCGGGCAAAACTCCCAGCTTGGTCATGGCGAAAGTATCGGGATCCAGACAGAAAAGTGGAGGCCACGACAGTATCATGGAGGTCTCCGGCAGGGTCTGAGTAGTACGTGTTGTCCAATTCCTCTAACTCGTCTCGCAGCTCTTCTTCATCGCACAGACGGGACTCTGCGGCGAGTCTGGCAGGGGAGAAAGGCAGGAGAGATGTGATGGTGCTGCTGAAGCGGGACAGTGTGCTAACATTTGTTGTCTTCTGCGGACTACATCGTCGCGGGTCTCTAAAGGAGGCTTTGTAAGTGGACGAGATGTGAATCGCGTCTATGTCTTCCCATTCCTTGTCGTCAGGTTCCCAGAGGGGCTTTTCCTTGAAGGGAGAGAGGTCGCGGGGACTGGTTAGCATGGTGATCTCACTCTATTGATCAGCGATTGTGGTTTGGGGTGTGAGAGATTGTATGGCAAGATGGAGGTCAGAAGAGAAAGGCGAGTTGAGGGAAAGCGTTGAGCTGCTAGGGTCACTGTCTGAGTCTTCTTGCGCAAACAATGGTGCGATCTCGGAGCCGTGCGTTGTTTGCGCTCCTCCAAAGTTGACTTCGGATGACGGCGACGGTGACAGTGTGGGTCGGGTTGAAAGTTGGTCCACCCAGCTGATTGTCCTATTCCGTCTAGTTGAAAGCTGTAACGATGGCATGATTGATGTGCTGTTGTCAGTGGGCATCAGTGCACCTCCATCAGCGATCGCGGAGGGTAATCCAGAGTGAAAAATAGGTGCCGAACCCGAAAGCACCTTTGAAGAACCTCCTGCCATGAACAATGGGGAGCTTGAAGACGATAGTGACCGCCTATGCTTTGGCGTGTGGGTGGTTTTATTCCCACTATCAGCTCTATCTTTGCTCTTACCCCGTGGTTTCTAACTCCAAAAGGAACTGAACAAGCCTCCACTACGACTGTTGCTCCATGAACGCGATGGCGTTGTCCCCAGAGTTGACTTGGAATAACCAGAGATGTCTGTGCCGAAGATAGACTTTGGTGACCGTGGAGGCGTTACTGGTGGAGTTGCTATGTGTACGGTGGTACCATCAGCATTTTAGCTATGGTTGGAGACATTTTTTGATATAATAATCTGTAAGTAGATGTCCGTAGGGCTAACATATATTTCACCAAACTCGTCCAGTGGTATCGTGTGTCATTTGATAAGGTTGTTAGCTGGTTCGGGAGCAAAGCATAGCGTGGTAGTCGGCGGAACGAACGTCTCGAGCATCTCCAAAACCCTAAACCGATTGAAGGCTCACGAGGCGTGTCTAGAAGCAGATCAGTCCATATCCAATAACGTCAACACCCATGTTTTGTCCTGCCAGCAGCTTCCATATGTCACATCCACATCCACTACTCAATGGGAGTTGGTAGATTTTCGATTCATTCAGGGAGAGAACCCAGACTTCTTGATATATCGTCGTAATCGTATCTCCCCCAGATCAACTCATCCCCATCCTCCGCTTCCGCAGCGCTAGCAAGAAACACTACGCCATCATATTGTCCATCCTCGTGAAGTCCGTATAGATGCCCATAGCTTTCGCAAAGAACTCCGGTAACCGAATGTAGAAAATGCCGCTTTCCCTTTTTCCCCGAGAGTTGTTTGCGGGCTTATCGCAGACGCCTGGCCTCACGCTCGGATTCGAGGAGGCAGAGAATGTCGTTCTCACGGACTATGGTACATTTATTAGTATTTTGGAGGGGTGCGCGGGGTAGGCAGAGAGTGCGTACCTGGGCCCTTGACGTTGCGGATGATGGAACGGGTCTGGTCGTTCATGAACTCGACACGGCACTGGGTGACACCACCACGGGAGCCTGTAATATATCCGTCAGCCTGCCATTCTCTCAAGTCACATTGCATCCTCCACGGTTCCTTGACTGCGCCCTTCCTCTTTCTCTTCTTCTTGTGGGGGGATTCGGAAATTCCGCGTACCGGTTCGGCCAAGGACACGGGTGACCTTGACGAGGTTGACGGGGGCCTTAGCAGAGTCCATTTTGTGCGATTGTGAATTTCGACGGGAGTCGGTTCGTTCGGTGTACGGAAGAGCTGGGTTGGGCGTTCGGGGATGGAGTCAAGCTGGCGATGGGTGAGCGTGAGGGCCGTCGGTGGGCAAATTTCCAATGTGCGCTAGCTAGGCGAGCAGGGGTCCGATACGCTAGTGCATGGCCCACTCACATCAGCGGCAATGTCAACACCAACACCAACATCACACCCTCATTTCGTGGTTCTCGGTATTCACGTATTCTGCGGTAGTTTCTAAGAGCTAGGGGCGATGCGCTCGACGCCTGGTAACTTGCACAAAGGCCATCGAAGCACCTAGAGGCCATTGCAATCATCCCGCCCACCAACCTTGGAGAGCACAACTCAACGACGAGCGCCAGAGCTAGGACTACAGTTTGAGCTTAAGGCACCCATTCTCCTTCATAATAGGAAACACAGTTTCATCTGCCAAGGAGGCTTCGTTATCCCAAGAAGCAATAGTTTCTGATGACAGTTTTCATTCCATTTATCTACTAAACATTATGAACAGACCACAGGCTACAAAGCGCCCAACCATGACAGCCATCACCACGGCAATTTGAGGAGGGCTAACCATGAGGACCGAGTGCATCCCTCCGACTACGAAATCGACCGTGTGTAGCGTCATAAAGACCATGAAAACGCTTCTTCTGTGCCTCGTCCCACAACTCGAAGTTGCCGCGAAGTACTTCAAGAGTCATGTCTAGACTCTCGCCGCGCATCCATACTTCCATACCAGACCATGAGTAGCACGTAGCGCCGATTCTGCAGCTTCAGTAGTTGTGCGTACCCGAATCGGCGGTCATGAAAATGGATAACGGATATCAAAATAATCTTTGTCGTAGCAGATCTCTCCTGGCGTCGTGATGGATATGGACACGGCAGTACAATTCGTTTTGTAACCGTCTCGGTTTTGATTCCTCAACATTAACAGGTGCTTGAAGGGATTACTTCCCCTCACATATTCGCATATGCCGCTGCATTGCTCCTCGGATATCTTCTGAACATCTTTTGAGACAATCTTGCCGACACAGGAAGAGAAGTGAACGCAGCAGTAGCAGTCACGGTCACTGTCTCCGTCTCCGTCAGAAACGCAGTCGCTGTTGTAGTCCGCGTAACGACACTGATATCAATAGCAGTACCAACGATGGACAGCATAAAAGGCTCGGGGCCCGCAACTTGGCGATGTGCCTCGTTTTCTCCGAGGCAGTATCCGAAGCCGGTTTGGCATCCCGCATAGCAGTATTCGGGTCTGTTACCACAGTATCCGTACTGGCTGCAGCAGACGCCGTGTTGAGAGCCGGTGCAAGTGTAACCCTCGATAGGTCCGCCTGTTCGACTTTCGTTAGTGAGATGTTGAAGAGGGAAGGGAAAGGGAGTTTAGCAGAAGACCTACATTCACCATTGGGCGAGATCTTGAGCTCTTTATAGGGAACAGCTGGAGGCGGCGGAGGAGGTTGGGTAAAGGGATCTGGAATGGCTTGGTGGACTGGTACGGAAGCACTTGAATCCTTTCCGAAGAAGGTCCTCTCGCCAGCTTTCTCGATGCCTGAAGTTATTCGTCAGTGTTTGTTCAGTATACTTCTTCCAATCTGTCATCAACTTACATGTCTCAAGGAAGAGATCAGCACCAGCCTTGCACACCCAACTTGGCTCACCAGGATATCCACCTTCCCTTTCATAAGCGTCGGTACATCCGGTGCTGTTACAACTCCCTGTCGGACATTCGCCTTGCGGCACTTCTGGAGTATGTAGGTACGCGTCAGGAACGTAAAGCTTGATGCCACCTTCAATAAGCGCTGCAAACATCGTCAGTCCACAGCCAACCATCAAGATTGATGAGAAGACAACTTACGGCAATACATCGCATTCTCAGGTCCAGCTTTCAAATCGCAATCCACAGCACTGAGATCATACCACATGAAACCCTTGCTCGGCTCCAAATGGTACTCAACTTGGATAATACCCGCCGGTGCCACCGCATAGTGATCCAGGTCCCGTATCTTGAGGCTCAATCCCCCACCTAGCGCCTCTGTATTCCGCATCTCGTGAACTACCGAGCCACCGCCGCCGGGAACCATTTGTCGGTAAGCGTTGCTACCGTCAATACCAGAGTCTCGGGGGCCGACTTGCCAGAAGAAGAGGGGGTAGGGGCAGTGGTTTATGAACTTTACGATGTTGTGGCCGGACACGACGGGGACGAAGAAAACCGGAACAAGACAGAGGAGAGAGATGAGGAAGGGCATGATGGGCTTCATGGTGGGTGGTTAGTAGTTGGTGGGTGGCGACCTACGGCTGAGAGAGCTTGTGATGGGCTGGGTTAGGGAGTGAGGGAAGTACTCCCAGTGAGCTTCAGTGTAGGCTGGAGGAAAGCCTGACGGAAACGTGAACAAAACCATGGAAGGCAGTAGATGCGATTTTATAGGAAGAACGATACACCACTTTCGCTGGGTCGTTCTCCGCTTGCGCTTTCTTGATATTTGTCAGGAATGATACTGCTTTACTGGAAGCAGCCTTGTCCACCTTCTCGAAATGGTGAAGAAACATCTATGGAGGTTAGACTGAGGGGTGGCATCGTGTGCAAAGCCCCAATAATGACTATCACAGCATCATGTTGGGTACTTGGCAAGGTATGCTCGTAATGCAGCACAGACGTATGCTCTTGTGGGGAAAGACCCTCTACCTTCTTCAGCGTAACATACATGGAGATTTGAAAGCGTTGATTACAACATGAACTCAAGATGGACGAGCAAGAATGGCTATCAAACGACAATGTTGGGAAGACTAAGATAAATCGCTGGTTTGGAATTATGTATTCGTAATGCAATGTCAACAGGGTCTACACCAGGGTCCTCTAACCAGACTCTAAGAGTTGAATCGCCGGTCTTGTGCTGTGTGCTCATAAGACCAGAATACTGACACCTGAACCGTGACTTACAATCATTTTCACTTCAATATATCGACGTATTTTCCAAACCAACGCCATTTCAATTTTTTCGATATATGCCTATCTATCGGGTATCATGTGTTGTTGCCAAAGCAATTTGAGTGAGGCTGCGAGAGAGAGAGAGAGAGAGAGAGAGAGAGAGAGAGAGAGAGAGAGAGAAACGTACTAGCAATGCCACCGTATTAAGAAACCCCCAAGCCTTACCCATACCATAGAATTACGGACCCTGTTCATAAACACCATGCAATGCGCTGTCCTTGTAAATGCAAAACCAATTTTCTGAAGAGACCTCAAAATCCCAACGCGACCCTCAAGGCTCGCAAGACAACTATGCTTGCGGAATCCTGGAGCGATCGCCACCCTTTGCGATCCATTCCTCCTTGATGAGCTTGTCCTGTTCCAAGTGCATGAGCTTGTATGCAGTGCGGATCGTTCCGTCGCTGACTTCGACTGCGAGACCAATCTCTTTCGGAGACTTGGGCTGGCCCATGAGATGGGAGACGAGGTAGAGACAGGCACCAGCGATGGACAGCGGCGAACGTCCAGCTGCGACTCCGTAATGGGCGACCTGGTCCGCGCATTCCTCTGCAACCATCTGTACCTGTGTTCCAAGGGCAAGTTTGGCGCAGGCACGGGGCATGAGACTCGCAGCGCTGGTGGCTGTGGTGCCGCCCTTCTGGTTGAGAAGGTTGACGGTGTCGATGACGGCACCGTTGCCTGCGACGGAGGGCCCGCTGTTCTGCGACTTTTGTATGAAGGCCTCGAGAACCTTGAATGTACGGCCGACTTCCTTCTTGCTGACGTTGGTCATCTTGAAGATCTCGCGGAAACTGCGCTGCTGGTCGTGCTTCCTACACGCGATGAAGATGCAGCCGGCAATAATAGCGTCTTGCGATTTGCCTTTGAACAATTTGGCGTCGTCGGTCATCTTGAACAGCATCTTGGCTGTCTCGGCGGTCGGGCGACTGATGTTTTGTGAGTCGCAGAGCGCCGAGATCTGTCCGTATGCGGCCTGCAACGCTTTGTTGACTTTATCATGGTTGCTCTTGTTGTGCGCGCGGCTCAGGTCGCGGACTCTCATACCACCGTCGCCAAAACCGATCTCCGTCTGGAGTTGAGAGCCATGAAGCAGCGGGTTCGCGGCGTCTCCGATACGCGAGGGATCGTCGTTTCCTTGATCTAGATGCAAGGCGCAACATTAGCATATGTCTCACTTGCATTTCCTACAAGCAGGCAAGTACTTGCCGTCGTTGGAGAAAGTGCGCCACTCAGAGCGCGTGTCTATAGTCCTCTCTGCAAGTACGCGACCGCAGGAACCGCAAATGGTGTCGCCGGCGCTGAACTCTTCAACTAGATTCGGAGGATTCTCCTTGCAGTCCGGGCAGATCATGGCAACGTTCAGGTCCTCCTGCCACTCGTCTTCTTTCACGGGCGCGGGCGCGGCTTCATAGACCTCGCCAGGCGACAGCAGGCGACCATCGGGAGCGTACGACATTGTTGCAGCAGTCTGGGGATCAGCTACGGATTTGTATTGGGTTCTAGCTATTGCGCGCGGTCGACCGACGACACTTGCAGACTGCTTCTGGGGCGGAGCAGGTTGAGTGAGTGTGGTGGTATGAGACAGGCTGCAGGACGGAGGAAAGACGTGACGGAGGGAAGGTTATAGTTGGAACTGCAGGCGGCCATTTGCTACTTGGCGCGCGCTAAACTGTTTGCGGTCGCGGCTCAAGCTGCGGCGGTCCACGGTTTTTCCCCAACATCGACCTTCACTGTAGCTCCCATTGCCAGCTTCCCCACGTCACCACACCTACACAATGATCGCGCAATCCATCAGGGCCTCGGTACGGTTTTGTTGCTGCTGGAATCTGGACACGTACTGACCCGCCACAGCGCCAGGCGCTTGTCCGAGTTGCCCGCCAGCAGCCTGCCTTTGTCGCTCGCCGCACTTTCATCACTCCCTCGGCCGTCCGATCAGGTGATTCATCCCAAGCGCTCACATACGGGACCGTACTGACCCAATTGGTACTCCAGCCGACCTAGTGCAGGACCTGTACCTCCGCGAGCTCAAGAACTACAAGGTTCCCGAAGTCAAGGCCGGCGACGCTGAGGGCCACGTCCAGAAGTTCACTGTCCCCAAGGCCCCCGCTTCCCCCGAGGAGACCGACATCGCGAACGAGCTCAAGGCATACGAAACACAGGCAGTCGACGTTGAGGGCGCCCAGGGCGAGGACGACGCTGTGCTGCCCCAGGAGGACTGGTTCGAGGAGGAGGACGAGAGCATTACCACCCCTGGAGCCACTCACTAGAGCGCTGCTGGGTGAGGGAAGCCATGTATTAAAATACTAGCGACTGTGCCAATACCATTGGGCGATGAACCCAACTGAACCTCAGCCATGTCCGGGAATATGTAAATCACGTGACGTGATATATGATCAACGTGGGGGTGCAGAGCATCCAAAACTGTGACTATTGATTGGTTCCGTGGGATGTTGAGCAGTTCAAGTCGTGACTATCGATGCTGGGTCCAGACGGACGAGTGCGTTGATCTAAAACAGCTGTTCTTTGGTGCCTCAGGACAAAGGTGCCCAAACTAAACTACTCATGGACGGGCATTCTTTTTGACTCGATATAGGCCGCGATCTACAAGTACATGAGACGTGGAAGTCATACAACTAGCCTGCTCAGGGTCTAACATCCGTGCTTTGTCGTGATGGACTGGGAACTAACACGGGTCCGCAGTTGTTGGAATATGTACTTTTTGTGCATGCGCATCACGTTTTGAGAAGCAAGCATCCCACCTTGGCAGTTGATCTGGCGTATGTTCAGGAGAGGAGGTAAAACACGTGAAGCATGTGCGGGGTGCCATGATCGTGATGAGGTTCTGGCAGGAGCTGGCTTACTTTTACGTGCCAGCCTGTAACGCTGTAAAAAGTGACTATTCTGTCGCATCTAGTCCCACCCAACTTCACACCTTCACTCATACGACGTGTCGCGTTTCTGACCGACTGATGCACATTGTTCCGAGAAGCGTCCATCGTACGCGGCTGGCAGTGGTGATCGCTACACATGCACATGCGAGTGCATCATCGACTGCAGCGACCGTGGCCCCTCAGATAAGCCGGTCTGCACAGTTGTCTGTCTGGCATGTCCCGCCCCGATAATGCTCTCATGTTCGGAACCTCGGACAAAGCACAGGATGCGCGTGGGGCTCAAGAGGCATCGCGGTTGGACTCTGCCGCAGTAGCTGCAAGCACGGTCGCCTATCTGCAACTACGGCTTTGCATACCGATGTCCTAGTGCGATGCGGACGATGGACTTTTTTTTGGTTGAGAGGTTTACCCTGAAGCACTAGCACCTGTCCACCAGTCGTTGGAATAGTCGACCAGCATTGCTCACCTCGTGCTTGTTCTAGTCATGATGGAAAGACGTCGGGACTGAAACGAGGCGGTAAGCGGCGGGGGTTTTTGCAATATACCCAGGTCATGGCCAGGAGATTGCAGCCATGAGAGATTGCAGTGTTCGCAGTTCACGTCAGGGAAAAACAAGTTCGTTCGCCGGGGGGCCCACTGCGCAGTAGACGCAGCCTGTCCCGACCATGTCTACGCGATGCATAGCTGGCACACCACCGGATCGCCACAGGACTTTGTCTGTGTGACGAAAGGCGTCATGCTGGCCGTGGATGGCGGGCTCCCTAAAACTCGTACCCAGCGTCAAAAGGTAAAGAAACGGCGCGGCGGGGGTCAGTAGACGAAAGGCAAATGATACCAAGAATACGCCCGTTTTTAATATAGAATTATCGCTCCGACGCGATCTGCACAGGCGAAAGCTGCGCATATGACCCCTGCTAGTCCCAGTTCGTCCGCCTGCGAAGCGTCAAAGTAATAGCTCTAACCTGCCCCCAGCGGCGTCAGCGAGTGCTGAATCTCAAACCTGAAGCCTTGCCAGTCGCTACTACCTCTTGTCCAACTACACCATTCGCTTTCGCACAAACTTCTCAGTCCCCGCACTCCAAGAGCGGCTTCTGTTCGCTCCCGGTACCACAGCCTCGTTTGTGACGTCTTCGCGTCCTTGACGCAACCCTACTGGACATTCGCCCGTTCACTGCCACTGCCTGCACAACGGCCCGCCTGACAGCACAACGCCGCACCCGTCCCAATTCAGCGCCATGAGCTCATAAACCTCGAAGTGTGTTGACCAAAAATAACAGCCGGCCCTTTACTGCGACTCTATCCCCCTGTTACCTCCAACTCCCGTCGCCATGCCCATCGCCGTTGCTCCGGCTCCGCGCGGCCACTACTCCCTCGCGAATGCCATTCGGGGCAGGAGTAGAGCCGCGTCAGAGGTCGGCCCGCAGCCTCCCCAGGAAACTCAGCGCGCCCAGCTACCCAAGGCCGCCTCGTACACGTACTTCCCCCAGGTCAAGGACATCAATACTGATGTGCCGGTGGTAGAACTCAGAGGCTCCGAAGACGATGTCGAAACTGGCAAGAGCGAAGAGCGAACCTCTGAGAGCAATTCAGGTGGATCGAGCCCCTCCTCAGAAGAGGCTCCGGACATAGCTGGTGTGGAAATGCCGCAACTCAGGCCCAACAATCTCTCGCGTCGTTCCTCGCGATTTCTCCCCTTCTCCAGCCGGAGCAGAGAACCGTCAGCTGAACGCAAGACGGATAAAAAGGCTGAACGCGGCCGGACCGATGCTGTGAAGAAGCAACAATCAGAGTCCCCGGCTGGCTCCCCGTCGCGCTCTCTCACCAACCTGCGGAGGAAGTCGTGGGTCATAAAAGAGCAGTCGGGGGATTCTTCGTCGCCTGTGAAAGAAAAGAAACTCAAGAAGAAGAGTGCCGCCGACAAGGAGCAGCCCGCTACTACTACTACTACCACTGCTGAGCCAAACAAGCGCAAGACACCAACGACTACAACCACAACCAGCATTCCAGAGGAGTCTGAAGCGAGAGACGTCGTGAAAGAAGACATTCCACCGCCAGCGCCTCTCAACAAGAAGAACAAGCGCCTTAGCGGTCTCTTTGCCAATTCGAGCAGTGCCTCCAACTTGCCTTCTGTACCCAAGTCCTTCTCGACAGAAAAGCTTCCACACTACCCGCAAAACCACAATCCAGTCAGCCCGACCCACGTTGTTCCGCCGCTACCACGCAACGTATCCGCGGAAAAGCTCAAGGGTGTCAAGACGGAGCCTCGCAAGAAAGATGAGCTATGGACCGCGTTCAGGACCCTCGACGCAGATCTGCGCAAGCATGACTCCCTATTCTCGATAGCGAAGTAATAGCTAACAGATGACAGATTCCAATCCAAGTCCAGTTCGCTGAAAGCAAACGTCGTCCGGACCACCCTCCTGCCTTTTCTCCGCCAATATACCGCACACCCTTCAAACCACAAGCTCCGGCCAGAAGACCTCGATCGACGCGTCAACATCCTCAACGGATGGTGGACCGGCCTCTTGGAACTTGTTGCAGGGCGGAACAATCAGTCGATATCTGGCACAGATCGTCCAGTCATTTTGGAAGGAATCGCGGCCATCATGGAGAGACCCGAATGGAGACTTTACCCGTCTCCTTTCTGTGCTCTTGCAGACCGCGAAGAGACGTTGACCACGTCTACAACCGGCTCTGCTTCGTCTAGCCAATCCGACTTCCTCGCCGAATCCGTTTACCACAACGTTCGAAATATATTTACGCAGAACCTGCAATCTCAGATGTCTTTCGTTGTAGAGAAAATGTCGTTACGGAACGCTGCAGCTAGCCTGGTCACCTTTTGTGGAAAGACGTGCGCATATGCTTTTTGCTTCTGCCCAGGCGTCGCCGATGTGTTGGTGCGCCTGTGGAGTCCCTCACTCGACATGATGAAGCGGGTCATAGAGGAGTCTGGTGTCTCTAAGCTAGACCGACTGGATGATGTCTCGGATCGAGTTGTGGCTGCTTTCCCTCCCATGCTTCATTCCTTGAAGTTGCTCTCGCTCAACCGACTCTTACGCCAGTTGCACAAGCCTGTGTTGCCCCCACTCGCCATGGCGAATCTTGACTGGTATGGGCTTTGGACCAAGCGCTGGTCTGGCGCTGAAAGTGATCTTTTCTATGTATTTGTCAAGCATTTCCATATTCTAGTCAGCGAATTCCTGCCTGTTGAGCCCAGTCAAGCGGAGCGCATCTGCGTGCCAGGACTCATCATGGTACATGCCCAGATATTGGTCAACCTTGATGCGACAATCAACAGGAATACCGCGCCGCAACAGCCAGTGGAGGATCCATCGAGGGCAGCAGACATCACGTTCGATGATGTTCTAGAACCCGACGCTTCTGCCTCAAACATCGCCCTCCCACCCGCGAATGCTACCCGAATGATGCAGGAGAATCGACTTATCATGCTAATACGGGATTTCCTTTCCGAGCGGAACTCGCATCTTCATATTGCCAGGCGTATGTTTGCCGACAGTTTTGCCCGTCTCCTCCAGGCGCAGGCGCGTAAAATTTCCATCTACGACAACAGTGCCTGTTACACTCTTTGTGACTTTCTCGAAGAGGCTCTCATTATCATGGTCCGCTACGAACAGCACGATAGCGATCAACACGCGGTAATGGATTGGCCATTCTGGCTTACCGTCTTCAAGGCAATGGCCGCCAGTCATAACACAGCTACAGAAATCAAACTGTACGCATTCCTCTACAGCAGCTGGTGCACGCTGTGTATGGACGAGCGAAGAAAGAGTGGATTGTGCCTTGACTTCCTTCTGGAACCCGCTTTCTTTGAAAGCCGGTTCAACCACTGGTGCCCTATGGTACGGTCTTACTTTATGCGACTGATCTGCTGGCGGGTTGCGCGTTACGATGGAAATGAGACCGATGTTGAAGTGTACGTATTCTTGACGCTTGACAAGGATAGCGAATACTAACAATGATATAGTGCCATAAAACGAGCTTTGAGTGACCGTCTCCGGTCTATCTGGTCTCACTACCTCTGGCTTCAAGAAGAAGCTGAGCGTAAGCAGATCATCTACCCGTCGACCCAGGCATGCAATCCTGCACCAGGCCGACGTTTCCTAATCATACGTAATGATAATCCTGTTGTGGCCAATAACGGCCCGTTCCTTTCGTTTGACGGCGTCGTACAAAACCCTAATCAACGAAAGCCAACTCCGACCAGCACCACTATCCCGGAAGCTGAGATCCGACCAGCCTCCGCCGTGTCTGCCGATTCAAGCGACTTTCCTGACGAGGAGTCCGGCAAGGGCAAGTGGAACATTTTGCGAAGTCTCATGGGAGGCAGCTCGAAGCAGACCGTGAAGGCGAAGAGCCCTGCACCATCCATTAAAGAAAAGGAGAATTCGAGCAAGACATCATCCCCTGCCAAGTCCACGACCGAAGCACTTGCCAACACCGCATTGGCATCCGTTCCCGCCCCCGTATCCATTCCCACACAACCACCACCCTCTACCCACCGCACCTACAACTTCCGCTTCTCCCTCGAATGGGTCGACAAGCGCTTTGGTACCTACCACAACATGCGTCTTCAACCCCCCAAACTGCCTGCTCCCGCCCAATCCCTTCTTCAACAAAAGGGGATCAATACAGAGCCTGTGCTGGCTACGCCTCCAATTGGTGCGGCGGTTACGTCAAGTACGTATGCTGGAAGAGCACTGGCGGAATGGACGTTTGTTAGTCACGAATGCCAGAACTTCTTCGATAGGAGAAAGAATGAAGGCGTGCCGACCAACAGGCAGGTCGAGACGCCTACGCTTAATGTTGAGGCTTTCAGGAGGCCGGGTTAGGGTGTATGAGGAGAAGAGGGCTGAGGAGGAGTAAGGCAGGCGAAGCAACAACATTCACTTCAGGAACGAGTATATACTTTCGGCTGGCTCGATACCGACACACAAACACACACGCACACACAGACTTTGACGATTTGCATACGGACTGCTCGAAAGCGGAGCATCCCCTGGCGGCGTTTCTTTTCACATCAATTCGAGGCACATCGAGCACCATTCTCTCTCTCTTGTTTACCCCGTCATCTGGCATGCATGGCAGTGCGCTTCTTGCATTGCCTTACTTTTCTTATTCATTACTTCCTCTCTCTTTGGGTTGTTTGTAAACTTGGCGTGGGCGTATGTGTAAGAGCGAGCAATGGATATATTATACACTTTTTGAGGGCCGCGGAAGCTGGCTGGCTGGTTGGATATTAGATATATGAATTGTATTGTCTTTTTCTTCCTTCATCTTTTCGTCTGTGTCATACGTGTCTACGCGGAAAGAAAAATGAAGTTGCGCACGAACGACATGTTGCTTGTAGATGGGTATCGTACATCCAGTGCGCCTGATTCTACCCTGGGGAAAGTAACTCCGGTGACTCCCTGGCCTTATACCCTATATTCCCTTCCCATGTGTGGTTCACTTGTATATGACAGCCAGAACGATAGCGACGAGTATTCCAGCAACGGTAGCGACGAGTGTGATAACAGCGATGGCGATTGTTATCAATGTGAAGTTCGTCACGATGTAGGCATGTAATGTCTGGTCGTCAGGCCTAGGCGGAAAGGCTATGGCTCTCAAGGGCGTCGTTTGGCTGTCGTTGTTGCTAGGAGATATGGAGTTGAATGATGGTACGTGATGGGTGGGTAGTTCAGTGTCAGTATTGATCGATTGAGTAGGTGTAGAGTTGCTAAGTTGTCCGGCTGCAGTGGAAGTGGGGGAAGACATAGCAATGCGATGCGGTGCTTGGTCCGACTAGAACGGGTTAGCGTGGTGCTGCTGCAGCTACTTGAAAAGTACGTACAACAACTGAGATGAAGTGTAGTCAAACAATGGATTAGCGAAAGCCCTGAGGTATGATGGACAATGTGGTCTATCTGGAGACGGGGCAGGAAAACAAGAGATATATGCCATCCTCGAATTCAAGTGTGCATTCTGTCTGTTGAGGCGCAGCAGGTAAGTCCGGGGAAGTCAAGCCAGGTCAAGCTAAATCATAGCGTTTTCGCTGACCATCTTGGTGCGGCATTGGTGGAAGAGCATGCATGTATTATTCTACTATCCCCAAAAGGTTATCTAGGTAGCGATACCAAAGGGGGAATTGCTCTGGGATTGGTCCATGGCTGTGGCTACTACAGGGCGGCTGCTACCGTAGCGAATGAAAGAAGCGCAGGCACGTCCGACCACCATAATTCTTGGCACCCATATTCGTTGCCACCTCAAGACAGTCTGCGTCATCCGATCACATCTACTCAAGATCCGAGAGTTAGGGTCACCTCAGCGGCAGAAAGTAATCCTTTTGCTCCTGCAGTCCATCTTTGTTTAGTAGCTCATGTCTGTTGACTTGCTAGCACCCGTTATGGCCGAAGATCGGCGCTTCTGATTCGTCGCACCTAGCAATTCATCGCTGCCGTAATCCTTTTGTTACTTTTCGTAGCATGACTTACATAGACACAGTATCTAATCATTGATCATGGAACCCTTTATCGCCCTCAAGATAGGCAGTCCATCGATGTTCTCTTGCATCTCATCGATACTCCTCACATGATGCCCAATGAATCCTGCCATAACCGCGCGATTTAGCAACCGTGATCCTCAGCGCGATCACATTTGACTGTTGATTGTAATGAAGAGTGCCACTCTGTGTGTCCGCTGTCAAAGTCTGTGTGCAGCCTCTTTGGCCATTTTTTCAACAAAGCTTTCACTGAAGGTCTTTCTAGTCTATCTTGACGACAAACTCGTCAATTGCATTCCACGAGTGCTTTAAATATACCTTTTACACCTGTATAGTATCTGCTGAACAAACAATTGCGCAAAGAACCTATGATATTGCCTATCAACTCGAACTGCCTCCTCTATGTAGCCCACTTCACAGCAACATCCAATAGCAGTGCCAACGACTCGACAGGGGCATATTCTACGACATAACTGAACCATGTCTTCTTCTCATCAGGTACGACTGCCAAGTTATGGGTACTCGACAGTGTTGTTTGGATGTTAGGAGGATGATAGTTAAATGCAGGAGATCGAGTGTGGGCGGTTGGTGGGAGGACAGGCGTGGGTAATGTAGCGTTGACGTTAGCCTGTTGAGGAAGTGGATCGCCAAACAGCTCAGCTAATTCAATGCCCTCATCAACTCGGTCGGTTGTAGTGGTAGTGGTGGTAGTAGAGAACATGTTGATGCGATGCTTGATTTGACTACAAAGTGTTAGTGTGGTGCTATCGCGGCCCTAATTGGAGGCCAAACCCCATACGGTCGTGCTCGTCGATGCTAGTGAACTGCCCCAACCTCACACAGTATACCTAACAACGACACTCAACGAAAACTTAAAAGAGCTACCTTTTTGTCAAACTCCTCACCTTGTCTTTCTCAGAGTCTCTGCCTGGCACTCAGGTATTTAATCCTTTGAGGTGTGCCCTTATGTCAATGCGATTGGGCATATGGAGGCGCTAGCCTCCCCCGAGTTGCACGCCTGCATGAACACAGCCCAGCTGTTGCGATAAATGCTGATTGTCGGTCACCAGAACGTAGACCAGCTACAACGTCAGAAAACATTAGTTGGCAGAGAACTATTTCGAAAACCTTTAATTGCTGGAGACTTGCGCTTCCACTTTGTCGCGGCTAGCACCTTACCGATGGTCTCTTACGTCATGGTCCGCAAATCCATACAACAACTGCGCGAATCCGCAGCTGACATCAACAACAACAACAACAGCTGTGCGTGACTGGGATGGCGAAGGTGCTGAATTTAGTGATGCAAAACTATCCTGCCTCCTTGGCGGATGTTGTTCGTTGCGCCTGGACAAACCCTAACCTTTGATCGCAAACCCATCTCAGCACTGATTGCTCTGGTGGTTATCGGTTGTGAGAGTAGAGATGTTGTCTTCGTGCTTGCCGGGGCCTAAGGTTCTTGTGAATTGTTCGAAGTTGTGGAACATAACTTTTTCTGGTATATCCCGAGACCTCTGCTTTCAAATCACCCTTTCAAATTTTCCCTACCTCAACGCACAACCCTCTCTTCGTTGGAAGGGATTACCACTTTCAAATCCAACGACCGTATGAAGCCTCTCTTATGTCCGGTTTTCACGATTCCCGCTTTCCGCAGTCCGTTCGCCGTGCTCCATGTCGTATTTGAAATACTATTCGGAACGTCATTTGAACAATCCTGAAGGATTCGCGGTCGGGTCGATCAAGGCTAATAAGGTGCACTTAGCTCCGCGAAACTGCCTCTGCCTGGTTGCATGCCCCGACAAGGATAAAAGCAAGGGTGGGTAAGGTAGCCGAGGGAAGTACCACGTAAGCATTCATTGCCATATAGCATTGAAAGCCTTGCTTATAGAAGCAAGGCCACCCGCGCATCCTAGAAGAGTTGAGTTTTGCTGTTGGACGCGTACCTCGGCTTTCCAGCCGCGTAGCATCGTGTATACAAGAAGTGCTCTTGTGAGCAAATCGGCCGGACGTTGCGCCCTTTGGATTGCGATTACAGGGTCATGATGCAGTATCTGGTAAGGTGATAGCCTCGTTATGCAAGGACGTCGCTTCGGATGTGTTCGGTCCGAATCAACTTTACTATCTCATTATATATGAAAGAATCTAAGACATTCGTGAGTAAAGCGATTATGGAGGATGAAATCAAACTGCGGCAGTTGGAAAGGAGTTTAAAGTTAAGGGTCAAAACAGGATGCGACACTTGCCGGTAAGTGGCTCCACATCAATCACTCACCAGACATGCGCCAGCTACTTACTGGTTATTAGAAAGCGACGCATAAAATGCGACGAAGCAAAACCGTGTAATTAACCAAATATCGCAAATCAGCTGGGATGGAATTGAGGGCTAACGACCACCAGCATGTTACAGATGCACAAGAGCCAACCGAACATGCGGTGGTTACAGAGATACATCCCCACATGATTCCACGTCTCCAGCCACCGCAGCCGCATACCGCAATTCTTCTTTCCTCGCTATTCCCCAGCGCCAACAACAACAACAGCAACCGCGCCGTCAGTCAACTATCTCCAGAAGCCCCTCAACAAGTCTCAGCCCAGAACCTCTCGAGAATCGCTCATTCCACTACTTTCAAACCTACACCCTGCCACGTTGGACTGAGTTCTTTGACTCGCACCTATGGTGTCAGACGGTGCTCCAGTTGACCCATGAGGAACCTGCTGTGAAACACGGAATCCTGGCGTTGAGCTGTTTGCATGAGAGGCTTGAGAGTGGTAGAGCCACCGCCACCAGTTCGCCAACTACTGATGGTAGTATACCCCGTGATGCAGCGCTCGTACAGTACATACGCGCAGTGCGGTATTCAAACGAACTCCTTTCTTCGTTTCAAGAGGATGGAAATGGTGGTGATCGTAGTAAGAATGGGTTTGTCATCGAGAAGACATTGATACTTTGTATCATTTTTACCTGTTTCGAGAATCTATCTGGAAACTATAGGGCGGCTAATATGCATCTCCGCAACGGCCTTCGTATTCTTCACCAATACTGTCTACCTTCCCCCTCTGGTTCATCCGACTCATCAACAAGTCAAACCTCCATTCAATATGCTATCGCCAAGGTCCTCCATCGTTTCGACTTTCAAACCATGATCTTTTCCGATGACACGTCCCCATATGAATGGTGGTTGGATACCGCACCAGAAATCCCGACGATCTCATCACCAGAGGATGGTTACAAGGACAATGAGGCGGCAAGAGACGACCTAGTTGAGTTGAGTCGGTGTCTGCTATGGACTTCGGGGAATCTAGATAAGGAACCAAGGGTCACGGGGAAGAAGGACTTTAGGAAAATGTATGAAGGGGCGATAAGAGCATTGGTGGTGTGGCAGCACAAATTTGGGCTTTTTGACAGGAAGCATAGGAAAAGTACTGGAAGAGATACAGGAAGGGAAAAGGGGGACGAAGGGAGAGCGACGGATGGTGGGACTTTACTCCGGATCTATGCTATCATGATGCGGGCGATCGTTGCAGCAGGAGCGGGTTTCACAAGTGAGATGGTGTGGGATGCCTATATCGGGGACTTCAGGGAGGCTGTCGAGCTCGCGGAGACGTTGCCTATGCTTCAGCCTCAACCTCAACCACCTGCATTACCATCGCCGCCAAAATCACCGCCCTTACCCCACCTGACGATAACCTTCCATTCCAACACCACCTACCCAGTCTCCAACCATACTTCCTACCCCCACTCCTTCACATCCCGCCTTGCACCTCAGATTATCTCTCCATCCTTCGAACTCTCTCCCATGGTGCCCCTCTTTCTCATCGCAACGCGCTGCCGGAATCCGCTCGTCCGTCGGCGCGCCTTAGCTCTTCTGCTCAACTACCGACGACGCGAGGGTGTTTGGGATTCACTGGCTGCGGGTATGATTGCTGCCCAGGTGCTGAAACAAGAAGAAGGAATATTGGATGCGGAGTTGAGCGAGGGAAATTGGCTGAGTATGGGGAGGGTAGAGAAAGCGGACGACATAACGGAGAAAAGGAGGCTAGGAAATCTACTCGTGAGAGTGGAGATGAAGGATGGTGGTGCTGGGGCTATTCAAGTAAGTTGTTTTGTGTTGTGACGAGTTTATGTGGGATGGAGGCTAATTTGGTGCTACAGATGAGGTATGATAAGGGTGATGAAGAGAAGTTGAAGGCTGGGAGGACATTTGTAGGTACGGGGGAAGCTATATATGGGGGGGACATTTTGTGTCAGTAAACCTTGACACAACTCATGCGAATATGAGATGTTTTTCTAACGAGCTTTTGATAGTCTGTGCGAACAGAGGAACTGCGCCAAGAAGCCACTGGGTTTGACGACGAACCGGGAGCGAAGATACCGTCTTGGAGTAGTGATGAAAGGATGGATGGTGCTCTGTGCGATGTCAAGTTTACATGAGGTAGTGGAATGAGTGGTAATGGAAAGACTATACCAGAGACGAGGAAGACATCACATCGATGTGAAGAAGCAATGGAATGAAGCGATGATGTAAAGAGGTAGAAGACTTTTAGAATTCATCGTAATCTATAAAAGAAACCAAGAATCCGTGGACTCAATTGTTCGTAAAATCTATAAAGTGGTGCTAGCTTCGCTATGCAAGGATATAAAACCCATAAACGCCAGAGAAATGCTTATCTACAACAAAGGAAAAAAGCCCTTCGTATCAATCGTTTGATGTTCCCAATCCACGCTTAAGCGATGGCAGAAGAGCCACCCTCAGCCATAACAGGGTTGATCTTCTCGTCAAATTTGAACTTGAAGTCCTGGCCGAGCTCCTTCTTCATGGCAGTGGTGACAGCCTCGAAGACGTTCTTGAAGACACCGAAAGAAGCAGGGTTGTTCTCGTCGTTGTCACCACCCTGGAAGACACCAGTGCGGACAAGGCAAGTGTTCCAGCCGTACATGTTACCACCGACGATATCGGAAGCAGGGTTGTCACCAATCATGTAGATGTTGGCGGGCAGCTTCTCGTCGTTGTGGATGGTCTCCATCCAGGAAGCGATGACCTCGTCGGCGTACTTGTAGGTAGCCAATTCAGGCTTACCGTAGACAACACGCTCGAGTTCAACACCGGTGAGCGACTTGTACATGGCCTCGAGACCAATGCGGAAGGCTCCCTGGGACATACGGGGGAAGGGGTGCTCAGTAGGGCACAGCATGTCACCCTGAGAGAAGTAGATGGGGATGCGCTGGGAGACGGGGTCCGCAGCACGGGTTCCGAACTTGCCGTTCTCAGACTGGAGAAGGTCCATGATGATTTGGATGTCGGTGGCGTAGTCGCGGCTGTCAGAGAAGACCATGATGGCTTCAATGTTGACCTTGCTGAAGTCGCGAGGGCGGGAAGTCGCACGCTCCTCATCGGTGAAGACACGGTAAGGGGCGATGGTAGGGTCCCAAGCAATGATGTCGTTGGGGACAACAATGTCTTGGAAGCCGTATTGCTCGGCGACCTCACGGCACTTGTAGCCCTCTCCACCGACAACGAGGACGGTCTTGTAGTACTCGGACAAGGCACGCATGGGAGTGTGCGACTGGATGAACTGCTCGGTCGAGATGGGGTTGTGGAGAATCTTGGAGAGCTGGTCAACACGGGCTTGCTCGGGCTTACCAGATCCGTTGGTAAGGAAGATGTGGGGGATCTTGATGCCGAGCTCGTTGTCTCCGTTCAAGATCTCGAGGACGCGCTGACCCTCGGGGATGAGACGGTCACCGTGGACAAGGACACCGTCAATGTCGAAGACGAAGGCCATGTCCTTAGCGGCACGAACCTTCTCGCCAGCGAGGTCTTGGAGCTGAGCAGCGATGATGTCGCGGGATGGCTGGATCGGGGGCATGCCAGGGCGGACGGCAGCACCACGGCCATCGGGGTAGTGAACGGATGAGAGACGTGATTGCCTCTTGGAACGGGGGATGGGCAATGAGGTACCGAATGAGTTGCGGGATCCTCTCCTCTCCTTCATGGAAGGCTGGAGGGAGAGGTTGTGCATGTAGCCAGTGGTGTCGGCCATGGCACTTCGGGTTGCTGGTACTTCGACAGCGTTCTCAGTGCCATCTTCGTTGTCAATGGGGATTGGGACCTGGGTGTTGGACTTGGTCTGAGTGAGAGGAACCTCGTTCTCTTGGACGGAGGGAGACATGATGGCGGTTGTAATTGAAGTTTGATATAAGAATGGGGTATCAAATCAAGAAGGTAGTAATAGTAGTATCAAGCTTCACAGAAGCTATGAGTGACAGTAGATGTGGAGTTGTGTGATGATGAATGAGCAGTATCAGGGTCCTGGGGGAGGGGCTCTATATATCACATCACCCGATAGGTAGCGACTGCCATAAACCCCAGATGCCATCATCATTCGCCAATCTCTTCTAGAAAGTTTCGCAGGAGCTTTTCGCTATCCCGATTCAGGCCGGCCACACCAACCACGTTCTGGCACTGTGAGCGTTCAACAAGTACCTCTGTACCCACAGTGCGACATCATTACCATGCGGAAGTGGCCGTGCATGGCAACACTAGTGGAGAAGTTTGCTGAACCAGAGAATGTGTAGGATACCGTCATCGCCGTATTATCGCCGAAAACTGGGGACCGATAGCAGCGTAGTGCTGTGAGTCGCCACAACACCTAAAAACAGCGTTGTATACCTCTCGCCGATGCCGTCGAAGCTTAGCGCAGAGCCTCATTTGACCGGACGCAGAGCGCGGCCGGAAGATAAGGCACGGTACACCGCCTGTCAGAGGTGGTTGGCGTGCATATGCGACATGTGGGAAAGATTGTAGCAGGATGTGTAGACGGTACAGGCAGCTTGCACAGACACGGCGTTACTTCCCAGCAGTTCCTGGTAGTGACGAGCAGTGGGTGGGGCGAGGTAACCGCGGCTCGCCGAATTAGGGCGAAGGCAGCTAGCGATCTGCTTAAACGAGTGGCTGACAACGGCAGAGCCGCACGACTATTGGGACTACATCGTTCCACATTTCCTTGCGAATGAAGTTGAAGTCGGCAAAACTTCCGCGCCAGAAATTAAAATGGCTTCGCTCGGCCCGTGCTGTGGACCCTGAATCCACAACCGACGTCATTGTTGATGACGAGGGCCAACACCAGAGGGCCAACGTGAAACTGTTGGATGGGACTATTATGGAGTTTTTTCGCAATGGGACCGATGCCTGCGAGATGCCTCTGCGATCGGAATCTCTCGGTGTGAGGTCACGGCCGGCAGAGCTTCATTGTTGGGCATGGTCGATGATGAAACCTTGAAGAAAGAAATTTCAGACGGACCAAGGTTACGCTGGATATATGTAGCACAATAGTCCCAGCACGCGCTGTTGCCGCAGAATAAACCATCTCCAAATCATTTGACACCTTTCATTGTTTTGAACCTACATCACATTTCCACATCTCAAGCATCACGACACCGCAATCATGGCTCCCCTCGCGAACCAGAAGTCCTTCAAGCTGTCCAATGGCGTCATCATGCCAGCCGTCGGATTCGGCACCTTTGCCAGCGAAGGCGCATCTGGCGAGACGTACGCTGCCGTAACCACAGCGCTCAAGACGGGCTACCGCCATCTCGACTGCGCGTGGTTCTACCAGAACGAAGGCGAAGTCGGCGACGCCGTCCGCGATTTCCTCAAGGAGAACCCCAACGTCACACGCAAGGACCTTTTCATCTGCACAAAAGTATGGAACCACCTGCACGAGCCCGAGGAGGTCAAGTGGAGTTTCGAGTCGAGTCTGAAGAACTTGGGCGTTGACTACATCGACGCATTCCTCGTCCACTGGCCCATTGCTGCAGAGAGCGATGACAACCACCAGCCCAAGTTGGGTGCTGATGGCAAGTACATCATCAAGAAGGAGCTCACAGAGAACCCAGAGCCCACATGGCGCGCCATGGAGGAGATCTACAACTCCGGCAAGGCCAAGGCGATCGGAGTTTCCAACTGGACCATCCCCGGCCTGAAGAAGCTGCTTCAGATCGCGAAGGTCAAGCCCACGATCAACCAGATCGAAGTACACCCTTTCCTTCCCAACACAGACCTCGTCAAGTACTGCCAGGAAAACGACATCCTCGTCGCCGCCTACTCGCCGCTCGGCTCCCAGAACCAAGTTCCCAGCACGGGCGAGAAGGTCCGCACCAACCCCAAGCTCAACGAAGTTGCCGAGCGAAGCGGTCACGACCTTGCGCAAGTCCTGCTCGCATGGGGTCTTCAGCGCGGCTACGTTGTCCTGCCCAAGAGCTCCACGCCCAAGCGCATCGAGAGCAACTGGCTCATCCCCGAGCTCAGCAAGGCCGATTTTGACGCCGTCGAGGAAGTCGCCAAGGGACGGCACACACGTTTTGTCAACATGAAGGACACTTTCGGCTACGATGTCTGGCCAGAGGAGACCGACGGTGGTGAGCTCAAGGCATAGAGCGGGGCAATGAGATCACGATGACACGACATGTTCGATTTCGATTTTTGTTTCTTTTTAGCGATACCAAAAGTCAATCGGAGGCTTAATTAGATTAGCTCGTAGAGCAATGGAATCGATCGTGAGAGATCGTGAGATTTATTATATCATGTTTGCATAGCATTGCGCACATCGTGTTCGCAGATCTTGTGCTCGCGTGGTATGACGCCTGCCCAGCAACGGCGTCTCCCCGCACGCCCAGGCCACCGGTGCACTACCATCAGGCCTATACACAAGGATTCGTGAATACGACACATCCTCCCAAAAACAACTGCGATCCTGCCGCAGTTGCATACAATTTTTAAAATAGTGTGTAGAAAACCGTTCAAGTTAAGACCAGGCGATCCAGTAGTTCCAGATTCCTCCTCTCTCTATGTTTCCTCTCCTCTTCTGCTGTTTGCTGCTGCACGATCGCTTGTTTCGGTAGAACTATCTCAGGGAAGTGCTCTTTTGTGAACTCCATAACGCTCTGCGCTTCCGCAAAATTCTCTTGTTCCATCAGCTGCCGGGCTACCCCTAGGCAAAGCTGAACCAGGAAATTCCGTCGACCCCGAGATGCGTTTACGTATTTGATAGCGCCAGCAGGATCCTGGATGAATTTGAGGCCAGGTTTTGCGCTAGGTTGGGTAGGGTAATGCAGTGAGAGCATGGACTGGACCGCTCGACTCCAGTCTCCAAACCAGTGGATTGATGACAGCAGAAATTTCTGGTATAATAACGGCGCTATTGAATGGTCGGGATTGGAAATGATCAGATTTACAAGATGACCACCTGCAGGCCTTAGCACGTCATAAGCTGCTTCGTATCCTGCGTTCTCGAGCAGGCGGAACGCTTGCATGAAAACATTCATACTGCTAGTAACGTCTTTATTGTCCGCTGAGAGTACAACCATCTTGGCCAGGAGTTGTTGTTTGAAAGTTGCTACTCGTGCGACATCTAGTCCGGTGTCTTTTGCGCGTTGTTCATTTGGTCGAATGAACCAGCGCCAGAGTGCTGTGGTCTCTCCCTCGGCTAGTTGTAGAGCCACCAATCTGTTTAGAAATTTGGTGCTGCGCCTATGATATTGACTGATCGACATGTCGAGAAACTCCTTTGAGTTTTCCAAGTTGCTGGTTTTGAGCCATTCTGCGAGTACAGTTGCTGGTGATCTTCCGTTCTCAAGTCTCAAGGGACTTGGGTTCGTGGTCTTCTCGAGGTACTCGAGACATACGGCAGCCTTTGGCAAAGTGGCAGAACCTGCGGCGATCTCATCGACGAACCAAGCCATGGGGTCTCTCATGATATCGATGGCAGCCGGTCCTGACCCTCTCCGACGGGGCTTCACGGCGAGAAGAGGGTTGTTCAAGATGGTGTCGATGTGCTGAGTTGCTGAATCGTACGACGACGTCTGGCGGTTTGGAGAGGAATTGCGTCGGCCATGGCTGGTGGTCAACTCTCGTGCCGGTTTCCTCTGGCTGCTCTCGGAGGGGGCGAGGGGGTGGGCGTGGTCGAGATGGGTACGGAAGGAGTTGGTCAGCAAGTTGAGGAGTTGCTGCGACTCTCGTGGCGACAGGGGGAGCTGAGGATGGATCTTAGAGGCGAGAGTGCTCAGCACGCGTTTGCCGGCGGAAGACTGCATGGCTTCGTGTTGGTGTTGGGGTGTCTGGGCGGGTGGAGTGAGGCGGATGACGAGGGTGGACCAGGCGGTTCGGGAAGGTGCCGCCTTATGCGCACGTGACGGGGTTAACGCGCGCATCATGGCAGGCTGGGACGAGACGCTCCAGCTATTCGTAGATCAATTGACCTTCAGCCCTCACCTTACTTCTGCATAAACGACAGCCTGCCTCAGCCCCAGTCAACGCGACCCTGCCGCGTCCTCAGCCATTGGAAGCTCTAGCGCCAAGCCGACGTGGTCGCTTCCCTTTAGCTGTTTCCCCAACTTTACTCCTCCCTCTACATCATCACCTCGCCTGCCCACCAATCCGCCCACACAAACACACACACCTAAGTCCCCCGCGGCTTGCCCACACATCACACAGATCCAATGTCTGAAGCACCATCTCGGCCTGCGCGAGGCAGGAGCTCTGCCCGCGGCGGCAGGGCATCATACGGCTCTCGAGGCCCCAGAAAGACCAACGGCGACAGCGCATCCTCCAACATTGACACATCAGCAGACCAAGGCGAACTTGGAGAGCTTAAGAAGCGCTACCAGTCACAGCTATCCACACTCAAGGAGCTATTCCCCGACTGGACCGACGCCGATCTCGTCCTCGCAATCGAAGAATCTGACGGTGACCTGCAGACCACCATCGAGAAGATCAGTGAGGGTAAGCGCGACCCTCCCACGTGCCCTGCGCCTGCATCACGTAATTTGTACACACGACGGGCACAAGGCTAATGCACTACAGGCGCCGTCTCGCAATTCTCAGAAGTCCCAAAGAAAGCAAAGGACAGGTCCCGCTCCAAGGCCAAGGAGAACGTCGTGCCCATCGATGGCGCGTCCAGTCTGCGTGGCCGGCCCGATGGAGCCCGCCGTGGTGTCGACAGCGGTCGCGGAGGCCGTGGCGGACGGGGCACTGATCGTGGTCGCGGTGGAATTCGAGGCGGTCGTGGAGGCGCCGCCAGTGGACCTCGTGCGGCTGCTGGATCAGTCCCGACTACCGAGTCCGCTGCGTGGGATACACCCACAGTCCCAGAAGAGTCCAAGGAGACCAAAAAGGACGATGAAACCGTACACGCGCCCGAAGCGACGCCCGAAGTCATAAAGCCTGTTGTAGAGGCTGGCCTGACAGCCGCGAAGAAGACTTGGGCGAGTATGTTTGCTGCACCCAAGCCCGTCCCCGCAGTTCCCAAGGCAGCACCGAAACCTGCTGCTGCTCCAGCCCCCGAAGTGCCCGCACAAGCACCCGACGAGACGCCCGTGCACCAAGTTGCCCAAGAGCCCGCCGTGCAGGCAGAAGAACTGCCTATTCCCCCTGTCGCAGATGAGGCCGTCGAGACCCCACCCATCACGGCCGAAGACACGTCCAAGATGATGCCAGACAAGAGCGTGGACGATGCTGCACCTGACGTCACCCTCACACCCTCTGGAGATCAGCTAACACAGGAGAACGTCGAGCATCTGCCCGACGAGTCCCATCCACCCCCGACCGAGACAGCTTTCAGCACTGTCGCAAGCTCGAAGGATATTGGAAGTGCAGTAGCGACCCCATTGAACGGTCCTACACAAGCACCTATTGGCCGTCCCGCAATTGGAGGATTCCAGACGACCGCATTGAAGGCGACTTCTGGTACCCCACACCGAAGCGCGAGCTACCAGAGGAAGTTGATGGAGCAACAGGAGGCAGTCGTCATGCCCGGCAACCACGCCGTAGACAGGGCTGCAGTTCAGTTTGGCAGCATGGGATTGGGCGAAGGCTCGGACCCAGATGTCGACGAAGACAGGGAAGAGGCAGAGACCAGGACTCAGCCGCCCCAACACTCCCCCATTACCCAGCCCAAGACCTCTCTCCCTCCCGCTCCTCGCCAAGCATCTCAAGATGCCCCCCAACAAGAGTCTGCCCCTACGCCAAAGCAGGCTCCTGGACTCCCTCCCGTCCCCCAACACCAACCCAGCCTGCAGCAGTCTCCCTCAAACCCCATTGGATCTCAGGCTATGCAGAACCAAGGATCTCAGTCCAACCAGCCCTACAACCAGTTTGCTAGGTACGGTCAGCCCGGTATTCACTCGGAGGCCTCCGCGCCACCGCAGAAGCCATACGATCCATTCGGCCAGCAGATCCCAGCGTCGAACCACTCGCAGTCGCAGAACTACGATTACCCTGGTCAAAGCCAGGCCCCGTCTCAGCCTGGTGCTTTCTCCTCCGCCCCAGACAACTACCCCTCCAACTACCTTACTTCCGAGCAACGCTCGCAATACCAGAACTACTATGGAAGCTACGGTCAGCCCATTGCGCAGAGCCAGCAGGAAGCCGGTTCTGCTCAGCAGCGTACTGGCAGTGCATTCGGCTCTGGACCTACTGACTCGGCTTATTCACAGAGTCAGATCCCACAAGTAAGTGAACCTGTTGCGCTCTCCAAACTCATGCACAATCGTTATGCCAAACGAATCCGGCTGTCTCATCTGAATGAGTTGCTCGAGACGGGAAAGGCAAATGACACGGACGGAGTAGGGACAGTAGCTCACGCAGAATTCTGTATCCTTCTATTATCCCTTGCTAACAACATTCTCAGTCTCAGAGCCGTTACGGTGACGCTCAGAACAGCGGTCACAACACCCCTAACCCGGCTGCTATGGCAGGTCAGGGACATGGCGCTCAAGGCCAGCACGCGCAGCACGGTCACAGTGCGGGCTACCCATACAACCACCCATACTATGGCAGCCCCTACTACGCTAACTACATGAACCAATTCGGTGGTTACGGCCAAGGAGGAGCAGGCTATGGTTCGTTCGGAAAGGGCGGCATGTACGGTCAACCCCAGCACTACGGCATGTCTCCCCAAGCTTCGTTCGACCAGCACTCGGCTTCACCCGCCAATGCAGGAGGTTTCGGCGCTTCTTCGCTCCACGATCGCGGCAGTGGTATGGGTGCAGGCTTCGGTGACTACGGTCGCTCAGCTTCTGGAGCATCTCAGAACCCCAGCGCCACTGCCAACTCTGCTGCTGCTGGATTCGGTGCCATTCCCGATACCTTTACTCGACCAGGAAACTTCCACCAAAGCTCCTATGGACAGTCGGGTAGCCAGGGCTTGAACGATGACGCCCTAAAGCCCTCAAGCGACTACAAGAGCGGCGGACCCAGCCCATCGGCTCTCGGTGCTCAGCCCGGTCGCCCCGGTTCCGCCAACCAAAGCACCCCTGGACAGGGCGGACCCCAGCACCCTCAGCAAGGCTACGGCAACTACCCGAACCACCTTGGCAACAGCCAGTATGGCGGACTCGGTGGTCTAGGCCACCAGAACTCCGGTAGCCACCAGCAGCAGAGTGGTTATGGCAACTACGGCGGATTCGGAGGATACGGCGGTAGCTACAACCGCGGAGGCTGGGGCGGAAACTACGGACAGCACTAGATCCGTCTCCTGCAAATTCAAGACGTTTGAGAGACTTGACACGTTGTTAAGAAGGATATGGGCTACCCATATCATCATGACGAGCTTGTACGACAAAGGGTCATTGTTTTCTTTCTCACGTCCACTTTGAGTTGACTGATGGCACGAAGAAGCATGTTTACATGATACGCTTGATAGGCCTCAGATTTTGTATTATGACAATCTCCTTTCTTCTCTCTTGTTCCTCTCCTCTTGCATCCTCTCTTTTTCTAGGTCCATGTCATGCCATTGGTTATTTACGTGCTCAGTCGCGAGGCGTTTAAATCCGCAAGGGAGGGATAAAGTCAAAAAGATTCTTGTTTGTCTGATTTTGCGTGTAGTCGGCTTTTTTCCTTCTCCGGTACTTTGAGAAGGAAACTACTGTGTTAGGGTATGGTTAGGGACTTAAGGGGGCAAAGAGCAGAGCAAGGTAGCTCGATGGCGTTCACAGTTGAGCTGCTACTACAGCTGAGCAATGCATATCATTGAACATGGAGCAACTTCGTGCTTTCCTCTTGACTCTGGTATTACCTCTATGCGTGCTTGTCGTAGCGAGATACTCGGGTACTTCACATGTTACGCATGAAAGCTTGGCAAGGATTTTAGCGAGCTGCAGGTACGTACCTTTTTTGGCCGAGAAACCGGCGATCCTGCCTCCGCTTCTTCTCCTTCAATAATTCTCGCTTGCTTGCTCACGCAACCTTGACGCAAGCTCGGCGGCCCTTTTGAGAAATTTCTCGTTTTCTTTGACCATCCGCCACGCTATGACATACGCACGTGGGCCTAGGGCATGTATTCCGAGTCGTTTCCGAAAGGCCCGATAGAAGAGCGTTTATGCAAGATCGCGAGCCGTCTCGGCGTTCATCGGGCAGCTTTACCAGAGTATTGCGCGATATCATGTCTTATCGACGTGAGATTGAGAGAGGTCTAGAGTGTCTATTGTTGCAGGTTACCTAGTAGGCGGATATCGCTACCTGCGTCAGCACACCAGCCTTTGAACCTAGCTGACACATTTACCAAACTTGAAGAGTACAAACGAGGCACCAATCCATGTATTATATATAACAGTACGGCAGTAAAATATGAACACCGGCATCGCAATGAGACAACACTGCCGGCCGATGTTTGCTCACCGCCAACATTACCAACGCGATAACACCTGGGCATGCTCGGAACGTCATTCCAGTCAAGACCTTTATCTCCGCGCTACTGCCGCCATGATCCACGACTAATCCGTTTGCAAGGATAGAAACCAAGGGTCTTACTTTTCTAGGTAAAGCTCCCTCGACTCATGCGTCAAGGTCATCATGGTGCTGTCGGAATTTATTTTCTGGCGTGTACGCGCTGTTTTCCCGAGCGTCGACTTCGTGATACCTTGATGGTCCCTGAGTCGCTCACAAGCAAAAATCACAGAACGCCCACTCGCGCGCTGATTGACTGCATCTTTTCTTTTTGGGCCGAAACGTATGCGTCGTGGTATCTGTTTTGATTGATTGGAACGACGTGTAGTCAGCTGGAGCGACACACCGATTAATTACAGGAGCTGAGAAACGCCAACGACTGTATTTGAAGAAGAGAGGACTACACAGTATTCGGAAAGCAATCCGACACGCCTCTTCACCTGTTACACCCACAAAACGTATCGTGCCATAAACCAAGGTCCTGGCAAAAATCTACTGCCATGGAGTCCACGTCCTACCAAGCCGACGCTCTCCCAGCATCGCCGCTACTCCGTCTTCCTTTCGAGATTCGTCTCATGATATATGAGTACCTACTCCTACCATCGACGACGCCCATGACCGGAAACGGAACCTCGGTCGCGAATCTAATTCCTGACTTCCATACCTACCTCTCCGAAGATACGAACAATGATCCGTGTACCTTGAGCGTACGCACTATGGATCCATGGCTGGGAGTGCAAGGTCCAAGGACATGGAGACGAAGGAGTACATACCATATTAGAACCGGTACGTTCACAAGCAATCCGAGAGGAAATCTGTGAAGGGAACTGGACAATGTGCTAATGGATTCGCAGGGCCCTTCCTAACAACCACAACACCAACAACGTACCGCGTCCTCCTCTCCCCCTACACATCGCACCTCCGCCACACCGTTCCCTCCCTGCTATCTCTAAACCACCAAATCCACGCCGAAGCAAGCAAAATCCTCTATTCGACCTACACATTCTCCTTCCATACCAGCATCGAAGCTGCAGTGCCATTCCTTTCCGACCTTACACCCCGCAGCCGTGCCGCTCTACGCCATCTCAGCGTGACGAAGAAAGCGCTGCCATATAGCAAAGAGTTTGACCGCGCGGAATGGGCAAGTCTATGCGACTACCTTGCTACACCGCCGCAGTCTGCTCTCGACGGAACCGAGATTCCTGCGCCTATTTCCCTGCGCAGCCTTACTTTGAACGTCATATCTGGCAAGCCTGATCACGGCTGGGAGTCCATAACGCCCATCCTGCCCAGCGACTTTGACACCATGCTGCGTATGAAGAACGAGTGGCTTGGTGGTCCGCTTGGTGGTAGTGGTGATTTCGGGGGCATGGATTTAGAGTGGGCGGAGCAGGTCATGGCAATCAAGGGACTGGAGAGCATTAACGTGAAGGCGATGGTGGAGAGGTGTGCTAATCCTGTGAGTGAGAAACAAGCGTTTTGGATTGCGTTTAGTAAGAGTGTTGCTGAGGGGGGTTTTGGGGAGTGGATGACGAGGAGGATGGTGGTGTAGGGGATACAAACTGGTTGATTCCTTTCTTGTTTGAATGAAGAGCGCTAAAGCGAGTGATGGTAGGTATGGTCTCATTGGTGTTTACTATACATAGCCAATGGATCTTTTGGCCCCCACACCAAGCCCCCACCACGCATCTAGGATTCACCTGGTGCAGTATTTTCGTCATGCTGCAGACGTATGGCACGTTTCTCAGCCTTGTTGACTTGGCATATCTGTCGTCCCCTTGTTGATGAAGTGGATTAAAAGCAGGCCAATGTCTGCAAGGGCATTGTTCTTCTCCCACAGTTTCATCTCTTCGATTCGTATATCCGTACACCATGGCATCACGCTATGATGCTTTACAAACTAGGGAGGATATGAACAACCCTATACGACTGCATGAAGACCAGGATGTCGCCTCTGTACAACAGTACGAATACCAGGATGTCAGCGTGGCAAGCGAGCGCTCCAGCGTTTCTATACAACAACACGAATACCAGAACTTCAGCGTAGCGAACGAGAACTTGGTCAATGCTGCACAACAACACAAAAATAAAGATGTCCGAACAACCGTAGTTCCTGCCCGCAAGGCAGAAATACCTGGAGGGCGACCCGTAACAGTACGTGAAAAATGGACCTGCACACCTGAATCTAATAACACGTCACGCAGATTGTGCGCAGAGTCGGCAAGTGGCCTTGCACTTTACTCGTGCTCAGCATCCTTGGAACCGCGGCATTCATCATTTACATTACTTTTCTCTGGTTTACCGCAAGCGGCAACAAGAATTGGAAAGACATCGCTCTGTCTGGTTGGATGACGAGATCTGTCGCTATTGCGGCTGTTGTGCTTCGAACATCAACTACTGTGCAAGCCGGCCTCGCGTCATCTATGCTTGCCGCTATTGCGCTTGAAAGTACTACCGGAGTTGCCCTGCAAGATCTAGCACCTCTATCTTTGATGCGCGCCTCTTCGGCGGCGCCGTACGCTCTATTAGCATATCCGAGGCTCGGTCGCAACGGACCAACTTGGGTTCTTCTTGTGTGGGCTGCCATCATATCGATCACAACTGTTTTACTTCAGTTTACGTCAACGATCCTGCTGGCTGATGTGAATGCAGGCTATATTCCGAGGTAGGCTTATTTCAAGGATCTGTTGGAAGCCACAAGACTGATAACAACTTGAACAGCGATCTTTCACCTTATGCGTATGTCCTTCCAGACCTCCTGTATAGAGGAAGTCTTGCGGCCAACTGGCAGAGCGCTCCGCGTCCATGGCCTATATTTGCGGAGTATACAGACAATAGCTCGGCTGATGGATCACTTGGCTACTCGGACACGGGTCTCACGATGAGAGCACTTTTGCCGTTTAGCGATACTCAATCGCGATCCTTCGTCAATGCCTATCAAGGTCCAGCCCCCGTCATCGATGCGCGCACGATTTGCATAAGACCAAACATCACAAATACTTATGTGCTAGTCAACAATACCTACAACTACAAAATTCATGGCAACATATCCGTCCCAAGCGATCTGCTACCAACCCTCTTAGATGCGACTACTTTGGCGAGCTTTGAGCCGACCCATTTCGCCTGTGAGCCATCAAGAAATTTCGGAAGGGATTACATCCAGAACAAGGTTGCAGGTCAAACTTCTGTCTGGGATCTTACCGTTTGCGACTTTGGACCGTCAGCTCGTGCGGCGCTTACAGCCAACTTCTGGAAGAACTTTTCTAGCCCAGTCACCCCCTTCCTCCTGATTAACTACACTGGATACGTCGATCAACAAGTCCAGAACAACACAAAATTTCCGCCCTTAGAACTTGCAAACTTCAATGATACAACTCCGGGACTACATTATCATCATAAAAACGAATGGCTCGACCTCAAACAAGACGCGGATGCTTTGGACTGGTCGGATGGCAACAATTTTGCGGATACAAAGCTAAGCTTCAGTCTCTGTCTTCCAACTTTCCACGCCTACATGTTCAACATATCAGCAAGCTCTCAGGCACCTCTAGAAGAACCAATGTACTTCTACGACCCAGAACGAAGTCAATTTCGCTATGATGATATACGAAGGCAATTAGTTCCTTTGCCGAAGCTTTCCCTAGAAAAACGAAACGTCATATCTTTGCACCCACAGTCTTGGCTACTCTTCGACAACATGACCAACCAAGAATATCCTTTTGGGAACATCGATACCATGATAACCCTCACCGGGTCCAATCAGATTTTTACACCTGGGCAAGAGCATCCAACAGTGCATTTGATGGACGACGCTATAGATTTGATACCTGGAGCGGATCGAAATATCGGAGGACTTGGATTAGAGATCTTGCAAGAGGGCGGAACGCCGGCCGAAGCGATGCAAAGCATGCTGATGAGTGTGGTACTTGCAGGCTATCAGTCATTCGTCTTCACTGAAGTTTCCAATGGTACACCGAACAGTACAGTCGCTTTGCGTGGTGACTTCATCACAGCACAAGTACCCGGAGGTAATGGACGACCTGCAACTAACCCTGCCGGAGCGACACGATCATACGTCATAGTCATGATCGCCACAACTATACACAGCGTCGCAGTATTCTTGATCTTCATGCTATTCATCAAAAGCACAAAAAACACCTTGATTTGGGAAAGTTGGCACACCATCGCCCAAAGCATAAGCGCAGTTACCGAGCCTTATCTCAGCCAAGGGAACCTGGCTACCGACTCCGATATCAAGAAGCAAATGAAGACCGACGGTACTTCTAATCAAGCTGTTTCAGTCAAAACGAATGAAAGCGGAGCCAGAGCTGGAGTTGGCGTTGTTAGGCAACGGGTGAAGAGTAGCAGAGTACAAAAGGACTCTCAGAGTGATCTTTTAATGGAGGAGCTTAGGCCTGTGAGGTCTGTAAGGGATGTGCAACGGTGGAACGATAGAGACACAACCAACAATTAGTCGGGGGCGCTGCGAATTATTGATTCATATCTGCTAATAGGGGGGTATTAGATGGCATCGATACTGCTAGGACAGATTGCCAGACAATTCGCCTGACGCTGCCAACCTACACCAACCTCTCCTTTCTTATTAACCCATCTACCTTTACTCTACATCAATCTGTCATTTCCCACGCCTCTCATCAAAAGAACGTCCAGGACACATGGCCTAATGGTAAGGCGCCCGCACACAATGGCCTTAGCGTCGCCCGGCATGAATTCGCTGAAATTGAGCATGGGACAGCCAGCACAGAATTTGCGAAAGTTCGGCACCGGGCAGTCGTGATGCGGGATATGCAAATTTGAGTCTCGCTGTGTCCATTAATCTCTACTTTTTTTTTTGTTGACGTTGGCGTTGTCGTTATTGCAGAGAGGTAAAGGCAGCCAGATTGGAAATGGCGGTTGCAGAAGGTTGGCATAAACGTTGACGGTAAGAGTAAACTTGAGAAAATACGTCGGTCAGACACATGCGTGCTCACGACCACTGACAGCGCTGGTTCACGTAGTTCCACTCCATGGCGCTCATAACTCCGTAATAATGCGCTATAGCGCTTAAAACGATGAAGAGGTGAAACAGCTGATGCGATGCACCAAAGATATCGTATCTCTTCGGTCTGCAAGACTCTGGGAAGTGTTTCTGTTGCAATCGTCAATCAACACGTCATTGCAGATGTGGTCAAGATGGACATGATTGCCTTACCGCATAGAACCAAACACCCATCATTATCAGAACACCTTCAAGGTAGTAATAACGCAGACCAGTTTGCTTGTCAAACTGACCATAAGGGAATAGTAACGCGCCATGGATGATTGGTGCAAAAGCCGAAAGGCCTGTAGCAACAAAAGCCGACAGGCGTAAGGTCTTCCATTTCGGACCATGAAGGCTAGGGTTGATGACCATAGTCGCTGTCAAAGTTCCTAATGTGATGATCTGGAAGAATCTCTTAGCCATCGTATGCATCGTCGCATATCATCCTATACATACCATCGTCCAATAGACCTTCTGCAATTTCGGTTCGCAATAGAACCCAAAGTAAAGGCCGGGTATAAAACTCCCTACGATCTGAACTATAATCGCAACATAATCCAGTCTCACCCACAGGCTAGCGAATGTTTCAGAATGGCATATCAGCGTGTGATACGCAGCGGAAGTACCGAAGCATATCACAGACGTGGTTAGGAAGATTCGGAAAACCAGTTCGTCGGTCCACGTCGCTTGCGGGAAGCGACTGATGAAGTAGCGGTCAAAAGAGTAGCTGGCCAACAGAACAACGACGGCGGGAATGAGATGCGAGTAGATATTAACGGTCTCGTTGTGCAGGTAGGATAGGCTGCGAATGCAAAGGGGTATCGATTTTGCGACGGGACGGTAGCTGGTGGTTATCCAGGCGTTGTGGGCGTACCAGGATGGCACTTCGTGACTGTCGTAGAGTTTTACCGATGTATCATGTCGCGATGGTTCTTTGGGTGGCTTGTAGGTATCGCGACTGGCCATAGTCGAAGTCATTGGCGACAAGTATCGAAGCGACCGCAGATTAGGATTAAAAATTAGGTGATGAAAAGAGGGAGACGATGCAAAAGACTAGAGACTAGAGAAAACTGCATAGGAGTTAAATCGGCTACAAAGATCGAATCATCGGCAAATAAATCCGTCAATCATTCGCGATATTATCGCGCCGCTTGAGTCAGCGCGTTGGGTGATCAGTTTGGCACGGACATATTAGCCAGGGTAGCTAGTGCCCATATCCTGACATGATAAACACGATATGGATTTGCCCTGCCCTTCGAGATCACTTCTGTGTGTGATGGCGATGGCGATGGCGGCTGCGGAATCGCGCGGTTGTTGTGAGGATTTAGCAGGCATGAAATGACGTAACGGAACTTCAACGCCCGGCACGTTTCCTACCCCCGTGAGTATGGAGAGCGCATGCAGAACGACCACGAAATCGGAGATAAAGAATGATTAAGACATGCCACATGTTTCGCAGTGGGAATTCTACATGCACAGTCAGTATACGACAGCCCAGTTGGTAACAACTCTAAATCCACTTCAGCAGGTTCTCAAATGAAAGGGGGTTGTTCTCGCGCGTACTACGCGGTTTGTTGGTTCAGACGTTGGGCCTATCGGATGCATGCCTTAGGCTGAAGGTTAGGGGCAACAAAGCCATAGTACCTACCTAGGTATTCTCCCGAGCCGAAGTTCGTACGGATCCTCACTCCGACTCCGACACACCAAAACAATCAACAGTCCTGTAATGAGTTTCGCCCAGGCAGACGGGGTCCTGTAAGCGGTATAGCAGAATTTCCTTTTTGGCTGTCCCAACGTTCTCCTACGAATTAATCCATCTCTTGTCTGTGCGCGTAGCTGATACCATCTGATACTGTTGTTCTCGTTCGTCCGAGAGTACAACCCATTATAGCTTCAAGTTACAAATCTTGCGGCGCGCCTTACATTGCAAGCAAAATGCATCAGCCCAGTCAGAACTGCATCCCGAATGGCTTCGAGTCTTGTCGTATATCCGCAGTACACGAACACGATGACGATTAGCGGATTGCGCACATTCTAGCAGGTTAGATCCATAAGGTACATTGCATCTTCTATACATACGCGTAGCCTTCGCATACATTGCTGCAGTTCATGCATTATCATTAGTTCTCCTTCAACTTGTTACGATGTCTCATAACATTCTTTTAACAGGCGGTTCTGGCTATCTCGGCGGCACGCTTCTTGCGCGCTGGAAGGAAGCACAGCTCCCTTCTTATGGGAAGCTGTTCGCTCTTGTGCGCTCATCGGAGCAAGCGAGTGCAGTCAAGCAATACAATGCCACGCCTCTTACAATCGATGCGTCAGACCCAGCAAGCATCAAAGAAACGATCATCAGCGAAAAGATCACGATCGTCCTACATCTCCATGATGTTATGGACACCACTTTCTCCACACACTCCATTGCTGGCCTAGGTGAAGTCAAAAAATTGACCGGTCTCCAAACGCACTTCCTGTTTACCACCGGCGCGAAAGTGTTTTCGGAATTCGTTGGAATGCCGACGGAGCAACCACTGCCCGACACTCATCCGGATCTTTATGCACTACAAAAGCGCGCAATCGACCACACACCACTCAAGATCTTTAGTCCAGCTCTCAAGGCTAACTGCAACGTAATCGAGGTGGCGGAAGCACATGGTGTGCGTAGCTACATCTTTGTACCGTGCATTGTGTATGGAAAGGGAGAAGGGTTTGGGAACAAGACCTCGATCCAGACCGTTGCTATCATCAAAGCCGCCAGGAAACTCCGTCAGGTGTATCGAGTCGACGAAGGCAGACCAATCTGGCCTGTATGTCATGTTTTGGACAACACTAGTCTATACCTCGACCTGATCCGCTCAATGCTTCAGGAAAGGTCGATAGGCTATGGTAAGAGCGGCTACTACATCGCTTCTTCTGGTTCGGTTGCCTGGGACGATATCTATGATGCGTACAGCCTTGAGCTTAAGAAACGAGGAGTCATTGACGATGAGATGGTAAAGGACGCGGACGGTTTGACCCAGGAGAAGATGGCAGAAATCCTGGATGGAATTCCAGCGAAAATTCAGCTCGGTGGATTGTAAGTCTATTCCGATCGTACGAAAAGGAAGAGTAAGGAATGCTAATTGCTATTCAGATGTACTTTGGCTGCTGATAATGGCCTGAAGATTGGTTGGACGCCACGGTACAAGGCGGAGCACATACTCGAAGCTGCAAAAGACGAAGTAGATTCTGTCCTGCAGAACATGAGAGACTAGCCACTTTTGTGTGCTCAAATCAAGGAGTTCCAGCCTACTCGGGTGTCCGTATGGTAAGGATGTAACTAGCCTTGCCTATGTGCACGCTGCACGCGTTGGCCCATACACACATTTCTTCAACACCATAACTCAGCGCCACAATGTCAACGGAAGACGTGCTTAGCTAGGAAGAAGCAGCTGGTATAGCTATTTAAGTTTGCTACCACTGGCAGTGCGCAGCGGCTCTGTTGATAACAAATTGAAATCTACTTGAGCAGGTTAGTGCTTCTTGCCTCTAATTAATGTCTCTTTGGCGAAAGGTCATGCTTCCTGCGCATAATAGACAGCCTTTTACTCCAACTATTGGGCCTATCAGATGGATGATTTTGCACCAGATTCTACGCATGATACGTGCCACCCTAGCAGCCAGGCTGAAGGTGATAAGTAACAAGGCTGAGAGTACCACGAATATTCGAGCCTCAACCTCTAGTTTGGTGGCGTATTGTGTGCAAGACGTGGCAAAAAATCATGAGTGGTACGAGCAAGCCACATGTACCTAAGCGCGCTGCAGGCCTCATCTTGAATAGCACGCGTCTAGACGGCAAAGATGTAAGTGGGGTTACCTTAATCTTTATATCCAGAGAAGAATTTTTTGAGGTAGAACGAAACGCGTTGTTCTTGTGTGCACTTGTTCGTCTACAAGTGTGGGAATGTCACGTGGACGGGCGCAGAGGTGTGATAATAGACCGCAGTCTTCGTAATATTACTCTCTAACCCAGTCTACCGTTACGTCTCTAGGCCCGTCCGCTTGAAATTCCCACGCTTATAATCCTATAACTCCACTTGGGTAGAAACTGCAACACAACAGACGTCGCGTCAGATGTTCTCAAGAATGTCAGAATTTACTTCTTCATACATTGAAGTCGAACAAAAATACTGTCGCTCTCAACCTTTCACCGATACAAAGCTAAGACATAGGTATAGTCTTATTGGTTATGTGTGTATGAAGGACCACGTGGTAATTTTCTTGCTGAGTGAGGTGGACTGGCGGTGACAGACCGCTATGACTATCGGATGCCTCACCACAACAGTATGTTACGAGGAGTCGCAGTATATCAAGCTCAACGCCGCGGACAAACTCAGCACTATGCGGCAAACAGATAGGCATATCAAGGGCTTACACACTCAACATTGCCTTGAGGT